TGTTTTAATGTAGTAGGGAAAAGAACAAGTAAATCGGTGAAAAGGTTAGAAAGATGAAGGGAACAGGGAGGAAGGGAGAAGAGACTGACATGATCAATAGTTTGCCGAAGGAAGCGCTGCTGCTGTGAGGTCTGCACTCAGTTATGAGATAAGAGAGAATGATAGACCTACACCACCAGAAGCCGCATAAGGTCAGGGAAAACCCACAGAGAGTGTGGGCTGTCCAGTGCACCATGTGGAATAGCAGTGATAAGGTGGTTTAATGGTAACACAACTATAGAAAAAGTGTAGCTTAGAAGACACTGTTTAAAATTATGAAAAAGCAGTGTCACTAAAATTGTTATGGTTTTTTGCCCTGCATTCACTTGTAACATTTCCTTTTAAGTAAAAATCTCTCTGATAAAGACTAGGAAGAATAATTTTAAAATACCTAGCATATTGAGACATCGATACTTCATAGATTTATAGTTGCCAGTAAATTTAGTAAGTAAATTTCCAGCAATAAAAATTTCAGTAGTTAATTTGAACATGTCGTCCATTTATTTCCTGTCCACAAATCTGCTTGAATATTCTTTCCTTTTCATTTTAACTTACTCTGAGAATAATTTCCAAAAACTGTTGATTGTTTGTGAGCATCTTTCTGTAGGTTTACAAAAAAAAACCTCAAAACCCCTCAATCAAACAAGTTTGGATTTAATGTGTTATTCACATGGTATTTCTGTGACACTACTGAATAATTATGTGTCTGTGAAAGTGTTTGGAAGAAATTTAAAGGATTCAAAATCTGCTACCAGTAAAAATCTTAACTATTGACTGTGCTGAAGTACATTCTTGACAGTAATTTTTTTCTGCCAGAATATTTATAGGAAGCAAACATAAAATGGACAGAAATACAGTCAATAAAAAAATGAAAAAACTTTGCCATTTCTTTTCAGACAACTGCAATAGTTCATTATCTTCTTCCAACTGGTGAAAAATTCCTATTCTAGCTGGTTTTTGAGGATATAAACCAGACCCATGTTTGAAGTACCTTTGCAAATCACTGTAGTGCTTAATTATTTTGGTTTTTTTCCCCTTAAAAATTTTCCTCTGTGCAGAGGAAAGGAGAGAGGGCAATTTCCACTTGGTCCCCTCCTTGCCACACCTAACAGAAATTCACAGAGAATTTCAGTATGTTTTATGCCCTCCCCAGTCCTTTCCCCTGCACACAAGTGTGAAGAGTCTGCATATGACATCATTATTGGGGATGAGCTTATAATGAATGCAATAATGTAAGCAAAATGGCCTTTCCAGCACCTGCTGTGCCAGCTGCAGAGGCTGCTCCCCTTCACCGCCTGTTGGTGCTGTGGTTCCTTACTGCTGGCAGGGTGGGATGGGAGAGCTGTGTGACTGACACCTCTGTCTACCACTGCCTGAGAGGAGCCTCAGGACCTCTGTACCAGTACAAATCTGTGAGGGCAGTGAATCTGTGTGAGGGGAAACCCCCACAAAAATAGTGGGAATGGGATGGGCCAGTGCATCCACACCCAGACTGGCCTGCCTTTTCTGAAACCAAAAATAAAATTACATGCATGCTCTGTTGTCACTCTCAGACTGCCCTTCTCTCTTTGAGAGTTAATAGTGTGTGTATCCCTTTGCAGCAAATGCTGTGGTGGGAATTAATGCTTAGGAGAGTCCACACAGTGTTGGAGGTCAGAGAGTCAAAGATACCCTTCTGTTTATCCCCTTGCAGTAAGACAGGATTTAAATGCTCATTCTGAGATTCTCCCTTCCAGCCTCCCTTGACCCAGTCTGGAGTTGGCTGACTAATTAAAAGAGAATAAATATGTCAGTGCTGACCCCAGGGATAATGCAGAGACAGGTCTTAATTTCCAGTTTTCAGATGTTGAACTGTGATGAAATGGTAACAGTGATACAGCACTTCACAGTCCTATTAAATCTACTTTATACAGCCAGTACACAAAATCTGATGGAATGAATGACCTTGACTGTACTTCCCTTCACTCCCTAGATATAACCCAATATATCCTAATTGGGAGAGATGCTACTGGCATCTCAAACAAATGTTATTTGTCCCATCATAATTTTTTTTAGCATCTCAGCATATCTGCTGCTCTTATGTGCCCTTGCCATGACCAGTCCTTCAGTTTTCTGGAGGGAATCATCACCACTACTAACCACAGTCCTACTAGTCCTTAATTTTCAAAATTGCATGCATTCCTGTACCAGGAACTCACACAGAAGAAACTGTGAGGACAGCATCATGTTTGGTCTGTGAGGAGACACCATATCAGAACTTGCCATAGCAGCAGGCACTGTGATTTAGGAATCAAGAGGCAAAGCACCAAACTGATGCAATCATCAGCTAGCCTGGCTGAGCATATAAGCCAGTGAGCAAGGCTGCCAAGCTGAAGGAGCACAGAGCTGTAACCTGCCTTCAAAAACACCACAAGGTGTAAACTTCAGGCTTGTCAGTCTGTACCACTGTCCAATACTACAATGAATAAATCATTATGTTAGAAATTAAACTCAGCTTTCAGCTTGCCTGGGATGGTGCCAGCCTATGTCTGAAGCGTGCCTGAGGGGACAGCAAGCCGCGGGCTGGTGAACTGAGCAATTCATGACAACTTGAGGATGCCGCTGGCATCCTCAGCCCTCCTAAGCAGGTCAACAACACAGAGTGTGTTCAGAGAAGAGACTGAGACAGAGAGATAGCTCAGAAGTGTATCTTTCTCTTTGCTGTGATTTACCCCCTGCCCAGTTCCTGGGAACATAACATATATTTTGTAGATCATAGGTGGCAGGGAAAATGGCATGGGCCACTCCCAATCCTTCATTGTGTGTTTGCCCACGTTTGTTCATTTGCCCTTTCTCTATCTCCTCTGGTCTAAGAGGCTTTTCTCATGGCATCAGCTGCTTTGACTCAGTTATTTTTTATAACCTACACAGGTTGTTTTTGGTTTTTTTTTTTTTAGGTGAGGATGGGCCTATTTCTATATTGTGTCTGGATTTGAGAATCTATTTGTAAAAGAAGGGAGAGTTGAACTCACACATTGGTGAACTGAGACCCCACTGCACATGAGGGCATAACGTTGTGGGCTTCTTCATTGTGGGAGCCCAGAGGAAGAGGAGAGAACTCTGAAGTTATTGGATGACTAAATAAATAACCTATGCCTATTATATGCTTTCATGCCTTCCAAAGGGGCTACATAAAGTAGCAAAAGTGTCACATAAAATGTCATTGGGTTTAAATCCCTGGAGATTAGCCAGTTGCCAAACATCATGATAGCAAATCAACTGTGATATCTAAAGCACAGAACCTAAAGAAACTGAGCTGCTATTCCACTGAGCTGCACAGGACCATGTAAAACTATGTCTAGATCAGCTGAGTTCAGAAGTTTAGTCCATTGGGCACTACTCTCTCAGCTGCACAAAGCACTTTCTGTCCTCCTCTCATTGATACTATACTGAAAAGGGGCTTGTGTGTTGAGATTTTTAGAAAAAAATTTCTGCCAGTTCTGCTGGTGTCACTGGAGTGACATGAGTTATTAAAGCACTATAGCTGTCTGTATAATTCAGCACAGAGAAGATACATGTGCTGGTCTGGGTACTCCTTTTCAAAAAAACCCTCCAAAAAACAAAACAAAACAAAACAAAACAAAACAAAACAAAACAAAACAAAAAAAAAAAAAAAACAAAAAAAAAAAACAAAAAACCAACAAACCCAGCAGGGTTAGGACACAATGAAACGTAAGCCCTTTATTTCTGACAGAATTATTTGCTTGTAAGCACAATGTTCCCAACATGTGATTTTAGCAAGGTATTAAGTGATTTTAAGGAAAACAATCTCCTTCTACTTCCTTTCTATGGAAACATGAATTTACTGAAATTGTTGCACTTTTAAAGCATAAATCACAGTGAAAAATAAACTGATAAGAAACATATTTGTTATCTACTTTCAGGCTTTTATTCTTTCCAGTCTAATATTCTGCTAATGACTAATCAGTCTGATAACTTTTAGGGATAGAATTTGCTATTTTGGGCTATTCCCCTGGATGAAAGTTATTTCTATAGCAGTTATTCTTAGAAGCATTTATGGAAGAAAGGGAGCCAGTGAAGCACCAGCAGAGCAGTGACTCACCACAGCACTACTAATTGCCAACCAAAAAAAAAATCTTTTGCTTTGCGAATCAGAAAGTCAGCTGCATTAAAGGAAAAAAAATGCACTATATAGTTGAGCACCAAACACTGCTTATGATCTTTTGCTATTAAAACTATGTGGGATGGGTGCAGAACCAAAAACAGTGACTGACAAACATCTGAAATTACTCCTTTTGAGATCTACATATCTCCACATCATTTTCCTGCCAACCCAATTTCCCATTGCTCTTGACTCTTTCTTTATCATCTCTGCAACATCTGCTTGGCTTTGACTTTTTCATCTTCTGTTGTTCCACAGCTTGAAATATGTTAAGTAAAAGGCAGCTAAAGGGACAGCTAGCAGCCTGCAAAAATTTCAATTTCTAGGTCTCTGGCTAGGATCCAGGTAGGTTAGTGGCAACTGAAAGTGATTACCACCTCATGCCTGCTTGCTGACCTCAGTGACATTTCTTGCTGGACCGGCCACAGCAGTATTCTCAGCAGGAATCACCCACTCTGTGCTGAAATCAAGCCATTGTCCCCCCTGCAGAGTCAAGGCTGTGGCAGGGCTGTCTCCAAGAAGCCACAGAAACAAACATCTTCATCTTCATCTTCATCTTCATCTTCATCTTCATCTTCATCTTCCTTTTAAATATATTAAATTAACTCATTATTCTTATTTTCCAGCTTATACAGAGATAGCATGAGAGCTAAGGCTGTGCAGAGCTATGGCTGTGCTTAATGTGCACTCTGCAGATGACTTAACAATAACCATTACTCTGTGTAACTGAGTAAACTAAATAAGTATGGGTATAAAGCTCAGCATTTATTGAGGTGACACATGTTATCTCTCTCTCCAGGCAACTGGTTTGCTTGATGTGTCCAGAGAAAGAGAGAGAGAGAAGAAAAAGTCTCCATGTCTCATGCTGCAGCCTAATCATAGCTGTTTGCAGGAGAGCTGAAAAGCTGTTTTCTCCTTTCTTCCTCTCCTCCTATGTTGTGATCTGTCAAGACCAGGAACTGGTTTGTCCTTTGCTCTTCACATATCTAAATTAGAAACAGAAACATCCTTCCTTCCTTCCTTCCTTCCTTCCTTCCTTCCTTCCTTCCTTCCTTCCTTCCTTCCTTCCTCCATCCCTCCCTCCCTCCCTCCCTGGAGACTACTTGTGAATATTTTTTGTAGTGCAAAAGCAAACCCCTCACTCCCTTAGAGAACTTACACCAGCATTAGAAAATGAAGTTTTCAATTTCAGAGAACTGTACTGTCAGATTTCCATTAATGTTTTACCCTTTTCTATACTCATGAGAAATATCTCTACCTTTCTTTTTCTATTTTTCCTTCCCCCAAGAAATCTCAGCTACCAATATGAGAATTTGGCCCTTTTTTCCCCCCACTTTCTTTATTCAGAAAAGGACATGAAAACATAATCTCTGTAGGTAAAAATAATCAAAGGAAAAGAAGTTTTAAAAATAAACCTTTACTTAAGGGGAAAAAAATAGCAATCCATAGTCGAAACTACATCAGGGATGTTTGGGACCTGCCTCGACATTTTGTGGTGCTTTGTGGATAGCCAACATTATTTATATCAGGTTAACCATGATTTAAAGATCTTTCTATTTAAACACAAAAATCATAATTGAGCAGAATTTTATTCCCAGAATAATGTCATCTAAGTCATCTTGCTTAAATTTTTCCTATTCATTGTCTTCAGATGTTAACTTTTAAATAAATATTTAAATAATTTGCTTACAGATAGCTCCTGTCAAGGACTGAGTCACAAACATTCAAATTCAGATATCTAAATCTGAATTTCCAGTGCTGGAAAATTTTGGCTCATTGTTGTGTAGCCTCAAGGAAGGGAGATGACATTTATGAGTTCACATCCTGACCTGGGTGTGGGAGGTGACACGCTGGCTGCAGGCAAGGCACATCACAGCCCCTGGTCTGGGCGATGCTCTGATGGGTAATGGCTCTGCAGCTTTGAGTCACAGAAACCTGAGACCCAGGGCCCATCTCATACTCCTTGACAGCACGTCCAAAGAGAGGAGGATGAGACTACTTTAAAAGGGAAGGAATAGCTCATGCCACCAATTAAAAGCCAGGAGAAATCATTTCCTTTATACTTTTATCCAGCTGACGGGCCAAGATGAGATGATCTGTTCCTCTGCTGTGATGGCTTTTCATTTCCCAAGGCTCCTGCAGAAGAAGCATACTTCCAAGCTTGAATCATCTAATACAGGCACTGAGGTCCTCTACATTTTCACTGGGGAACAATTCAAAGTGCATGAGTAAGGAATATCTTGAATAAATGAAGCTCTTTAGCATGAACACAGACATAGTGGGTCAGTCCAAAGAGCCACCTAAGCCACCTCTCTGCTTTTGACATAGTCAACAGCAGATGCTTGGAGAAGGGCAGAAGAGTAGGACATTCATATCTAAATTTTCTTCCTCGGTTACGTTTTCACCTACCGGTAGTTATATATCACATGGACTTTCTAATGTGTCCATGGTTTGTATGAATTTAGAGAAGATACTCATTTGCCTGTCTCTCTTTGAACCCAGGTAAATATTCAGTGTCTTCAATACCTAAGGGCAGGATTTATAAAGTTTAACTATGTAAGAACTTTCATGGGAGATCACAGGGAAACTGCGACACTGTTTGCTGTCTGTGGAAGCAAACTTGAGAGGCATGAGTGAAATTGGGAACCAGAGGACAGTGAAAGCACAGCAATACTTTTCTAGCCCTTTTCCTACCTCTGGGATGCACTCAAAGCTTTTTGTTGCATGAAAGGCATGCTGAGTGCAATGTGAAAATGTAACTGAGTTAGATGTGTGGAAGGTCCCAAGCTGATGAAGTGCATTGATCAGATGCCACATACGGTCCATGAAGTTTTTTTATGTGACCAGGTTAAGGACATTTTTTATCATATCTGTTATCATCAGACAAAATTAGCTGTCAGGAATCTAAACTAAGCTTGCTCAGGGTCTAAGGAACAAAGAAATTGGGTTGATGTTACCATTTAATTACTAACAATCTAATGGGCAATTTGGCATCTTTCCATAGATAATTCTCTTTCTCTCCTTAGAATTATAAATAAATATGTGGAAAAAATTCTAAAGTGTAAGTTCAATTTTAGGTCACATATGCCCAATGATAATTTTTTTATCAATTTCTTGCATTGCACAACAAAACTGAACTCAGCTTGCCATAAAATGTCAACAACACACTCTTTTGGTTGCAGCACCTTGTGCTGTGACTGGGGTTGTTGCAGTATACATGGATTCAGCATGAAGGGAACTTCTTATCTACTACAAAATCATAGAATCAGAAGTTTTTTAGGTTGGATCTTTAAGATCATCAAGTCCAAATGTTACTCTCACCAAGTCTAAACCACTAAATCAGTTTTCACAGATACAGTATGATTAGCTTGTAGAAAGTATGATACCAATGTCAGGTTATAGAAAAGCTTTAGTAACCATTTGAACTTTGTCAGGATAAGCACTCACTGTAGTTACTATAGTTTTTAAAAATTGTCACGCATAGGAATATGTTTCTGGTTCTGCTTCTGCTGTAAAAAAATTATCCCGTAATGGATTGCAGAGATCTTTTAGACAGAACACACTGAAGCTACTAAAAAATGTGCAATTGGAGGAGAGCTTCAGTGGGCTGTGAAAAGGCATACACTCAAGAAGAAACAGCATTTGGATGTGTCAGAACATAACCTAAATGAGGTGCAGACTGGACTATCTTGAGCCATGAGCACGGCAGGCCACTGCTTAGGGTAGGAGAGTGCTGGGATGTTGCTTGTGCCAGTAAATTTTGCTTCTGCCAAAGGCTCGTGCTTCAGACCTGTCAATATCCAGGTTAGCTTTGCATGCTGAGGGAGAGGTTGAACTGTGGATTATGCCAAGATACCACATTTTATATCACTAGCTCTCAGGCAATATAAAATGAGGCAGGCTCTTTCCCTGAGTCCTTACCCCTCTTCATGGAATTACAGACTTGCTGAGGTTGGAAATGACCCCTGGAAGTCATCTGGTCTGACCTTCTTGCTCAAGCAGAGTGACCTAGAGCAAGTTACTGAGGACTGTGTCCCAATGGCTTTTGGGTATCTCCAAGGAGGGAGACTCCATTTCCTCCCCAGATAATATATTCCACTGTTTGGTCACACTTGCAGTAAAATAAAGGGTTTCCTGATGTTCAGACAGAGCCTCCTGTGTTTCAGTTTCTGCCCACTGCCACTTCCATTCCACACCAGAAACTGTACAGGCCTGGTTTGGTCTTGGCCCTTCAAATTTGAGGTGGCTAATTCAAGACTGTCTGCATGTCCTTGAGCTGACTTGGTAGCCCATTGTCAGAAGTTAGCTCCAGCCTTTAAGTCGCTTCAAGACTGTACACTTGAACTACACAATAAAAAAAAAATTGAATATGGTCCATACAAATTCAAGTGTCTGGATCATCAGATCCAGACAAATGTCACTGTATTCTTTCTTCATCTAGGGAGCTGGTTTCTGAGAAAACTCCTCCAGACTATAAAGGGCAAACATAAGCCATTTGACTTATATCCAGTCTACAAATTAAGTTGTTTTTATCCTATTTTTCAAGCCCTCATTTATATCTGATTAGCTAATATCACCCAAGAGCCAGACCATTTGTTTAACACTAACTGCTTCCAAAACATTTCTGTTAGTATCATCTAGAAAAACTGATGTCAGTTCTATAATGAAACAAAGGGTTATTATAATTCACAGAGCTGTGTAACAACATTTAATGCTGGGATTGATACTTGCTCTGTAGCTTATGCAAATGAAATTTCCTTTTTGTTTCTACATCAACAGCTTAAAAAAAAAAAACAATTCTAATAATTTTTAAATACATAGAAGTACAGATGGAATTTTCTTACCTTTGCCTTTACAAAACCCATTAAAAGATCAAAAAAGATTTGTTTAAACCTGGTCTTTGTCCCATAAATTCCAAGGATCCACAATAAGCAAATAATTCACAGTTATTAACTGAGATTTTACAATACCAGTGCACATAATAAATTATGTATACCAAAGTGTGATTTGCTCCTTAAATCTCTCTGTATGGACTGCAACACCTTCCTCCATATATTTAGGAGTTAATTCAGAATGCTGTAAGTTAAAAAGAGAAAAAGAGTTTGTCCTTTTTTTTGTATCAGACTTGCTGAACAGCAGGCTCAATGTTTTTTTTTTTTTTTCCTATTCTATCCTGCCTTTATGTACTCTCAATTGATTTGCTTAAGACTTCAGATGGACTAAAACTCCATGTTTCTGGACAGGAACCCGAGGAAGAGACCACATGGCTGCACTGTGTCTGGAGAAAACCAGGATTGATATCTTGGTTTGGCATCCTGGTCTCGAGCCAGCACCATCTCTGTTCCCGCCTTGAGTTCCAGGCTGCCCCTTCCCTTTGCAGGGTACAGACCCATTTCTCCTGGCAGGTCTTGTGGGGAGGCTGAGCCAACTCTCAGGGATCTGATGTCCATGAGGAAACAGCCCACCAGAAGAATCACAAGTCTGTAACAGTCCCACCCAATGAAGAAGCCAGAACTTGGCCCAGTCAAGGCAATTAAGCCACACAACTGTATTTAAAGTAACTTTCGTAGTTATTGACTTCAGGACGGATACATTGGTGTTTTCTGCCTATCAGTTTAGATAACAAGCTCAAACTACACAGTGCATTTCATTAGATACTAGAAGCAAGCTTGATTGCATCTCAGCTAATTATTTGAGATTTAGTGTTTTTCTAACACTGAGGTGGAAATTCAACCTTTTTTCCCTCCCCCTCCCCTCAATTAGAATAGATGTAGTGAAAGAGGGTATAATAACCCCAGAAATAATTGGATTTTGCAGCAGTCTGTGACAAGCTGTCCAACACATATTCATACAGTCCACTCTGCTTTT